AGTTAGCTTTGAGTCAGTTTATTTAGAAATAAGAGACAGGATCTCTAATATACATATTTACGAAATACTAATAAAATTACTGGTAAATTTATCCTCTTTTTATCATAAATTTGTCTGAATATTGTTCGTATAGCCAATCAATTCATAACGCATATATTCAATAAACTGTTATGCATTAATTACAATCTGAAGTTACATGTTAATTATAAATGCAAATTCTGTTTCAAAATCCTTTATTATAACAATTTGCTATTCTAAATTAATTGTTTATAAATTATTTAGATTTAGATTTCTCTTTAAGTCTGCAGCTACGCGCGTTGTATCCAATGCCTTTACAGTGATTGCATATATACTACGATTGATAAATACTAGCAGTTTCACTTGACTTTTGCTTTTGATTTCCTTCTAATGCACTCTTTATATGTTTTCTTGGAGCACCTTTTGTACGCGTCTGATAAGGGTTGCTAATATTCGGCAGATTTTCTTTGTTAATCTCTAGTTGCCTAAAACTAATTTCATTTTCCTTCTCTCTTATCCACCTTTGCAACATGTTATTTAATTCGTCTTTACAGCCTATTTCAAGAGCTAGTCCAATTGCTTTCTTTGCATAACCGAAACCTTGATTATATTTGGCTTGATGAGATAAATTTTGCTTGACAGTTTCTGAAAATGCTTATATATGATGAATCTCATGTAATAGGCTAAAATCTGGCCTAACTTGATGTTCATATATAGATTTAACAGTGTTCTTTTCGCTAAAAATTGTAATTGCAGGTTCTTTTTGAAAATCAGAAAACTTTTCATTATACCATCGATCTGAAATGAGCCCTATATGAAACATAGCCTTATCTGAATTAAACATTACTGAAAAGAAATGACGACAAACTAATCCTCTTGTTACAAGCTACATGCATGTATACAAGTGATTAGCATTATCATATATCACTATAAAATGCTCTTTATTTTGTTCAATTGTTATTACACGCCAAACCTCATGAATGTTAGCATGATTAAGGTATGTAATCAGAGCATATAGGTTGGATATTAGTGACTCATAGTCATCTTCAGAAAAATTCAGCTTTTCAGATTGTTTTTCATCATCGCCTTGTTTTACATTGGATTGTTCTTCATCATCGCCTTGTTCTTCATCAGATTGTTCTTCATCATTGGATTGTTCTTCATCATCGCCTTATTCTTTATCATCGTCTTGTTCTTTATCATCAGATTGTTCTTTATTGTCAAATTGTTCTTCATCATCAGATTGTTGTTCTTTGCCATCTTCACCATCTTCATCTTGTTCAACAATTTAAATAGAAATAGAATAAGAATATTGTGTAATTTACAAGTAAATGCCAATGTTACAATTTATACCTTATTTTTGAGCAAATCCTTTCAATTCTCTACTTTATCTATACGATAAAGTAAACTCTCATTTATTTGATTGTGCTGCATCTTTAAAACACGAGAAGTAAGAAATTTTTTGATGATAGCATCTATTCTTTTGAAGTATCTCCTGATAACATTTGGTAAACCAACTGTTGGATTTTGATTTGATTGTTCATACCATTCAAATTGTTGTTCTTTGTTGAGAAGTGACTGGATATGTGTATCCAATTCAAACAATGTTGCTGAACTTTTGACCGATCGTTTAATTAGAGAATTATAACCTTCAACACGTTGAGTAGACTGGATTCCCACATTGAATGATCGACTGGTGTGGCATAATGTCCAGCTAGTTACAACTTGTTCAAGTATACGAGTTAGGTATTTTTTGCCGTCGGATAACTAGTAAGAAGTTTATACCATCGTTTTTAAAATTCATTTTCTGAGAAGGAATTCTGGCATTTATTCCATGCTTTCATGAATTTATTGTAATTTTTATAGAGCCGACCTCTCAGATTTTTGTCAAGGTTTTTGCGAAGGTACCAGATATAGTAATAGTAGAATTTTTAGCATTTTCCTTTATCAAGTGCAGAAATATGATTAGTTTGTAAAAATATATGACTGA